GTGCCCACCCCCTTCCTACCAGGCTGCCCTCTGAGGTGGAAATCTGGAGCCACCGCTGCCCTTATGTAGGGAGACCTGGCAGCAAAGCCCGCAGGCTGAGCACCTCAGCCCCTCATTTTTGCATAAATATTGACCGAGCATCCCCCACAGGCCAGGCCTGCATCCGCACCCGGGACTCCTTGGTGACAAAACAAACAGACCCCTGGCCTCCGGAGTGTAGTAGAGAAGAAGCAGTAAACAGATAGAGAACACTGTGTCATCAGTGGCCCCTGGGCTGGAGAGGACGCAGGAAACCCCAGCTCTGCCATCACCTCTAACTGTGCAGGGCTGGCCACCACGGAGGCCTGCTTCCTCACCTGGAAGATGAGGATACTTTCCCTCACCGTACCGGGCTGCTGTTTTTAAAACACCAGATGGAAAACTGCATGTAAAGCACCTGAGAAGTGCTTAATAATTGCACAGTGTTGTTCACTGTGATTGGCTGGCTGGTGTTCAGGGTAGCCAGGAACGACCATTCATTCATTCACTCACTCACGCAGAGGAGCATGTGGCTTCTGTGCTCCTCTGGAGGACTTGGAGCTCAGACCATCAAGTCTCTCTCTCCTCCCAGAGCCGGATGGTATGAAGGCCCCTGCTGCCAGGGTCCCACCAGACCAAATGGCCATTTATCTTGGTCACAATCACAAATTTGTAATTATTGACTCCCCCTGCCACCATTCACCAGGCAAAGGATCCCCATCAAGCCACAGTGTGATCCAATGTGATCCAAATGTGTTTTCCTACAGTGGTAGCAGCAGCCTGGCCCCAGCCCTACCCGCCCCTCCACCCACTGCAGCCCGAGTGGTAGCACCAGCCCTCAGTTCTGACTTCAAGGTGACCAGATCTGTTTCCCCACCTGCCCTCCAAGGAATGGCAGGGCTCTGAGATGCGTAACAAAGAGTGCTGACCTTCCAGAAGCAAAGACTTCATGTTTCAAAACCCCGTTTGCCCCTCCATAGAAAACCAACCTCTAACAGCGCAGAGCTGAGCCATCAGAACCTTCCCTTTCACCCAGAGCTAATTCCTCCCCAAGTCTTCAGCCTGACAAGAATAGTCAGGGTTTAGAGAGCACTCCCTCTATCTCGCACTCTCAGATCCAGGGCCCCATTTTTCAAACTCTGGTGTATTTCGGGTGGAGAGGAGGGAAATGTACATCTGGCTGACATGAAAAGATTGGTGTGGTTGTAATGTAAAGACAGGGTGGAATTTGGAATTTATTTTTTTTAAGAACATTTAAACTCTAAAAATAGACAAAAGGCCTGGTCTTGGGAATACAGGATTCTGTTTCCAGTTTCCTGGAATCTTCCAGTTGACAAGCATGAGTGTTTCGTGAGCATCTACTGTGTGCACTGCACTGTGGCAGGTGTTATAAGAGCAAGAGGAGGGGGAAAACAGTAGAGGCCTCTGCTCAGGAAATTTTGATCCCACACAATGAAGTGGCAAAGGACAGTTGCCGCAACCGTGATTGGGTATAAAATACGTGGCCTCAGGATCAGAGGAAGATGGAGCCTCGGAGAGTCGTTCAGGGAAGGCTTCCTGGGGGAGGCAGTTAGAGTGAGGCTTGAGGGATGGCTAGGGTTTAAAAAGGCAAACGAGCAGGAGAACCTGTGAGAGGAAACAGCAGCCAGATGGAGCTTGTGTGTAGATAATAGGAAGATTGATATTAATGGCAAATGTTTGAGGTCTGACCCTGTGCCAGGCACTGTGCTATTTGTTTTGTGGGGGTTATTTTGTTTAACCCTTAAAACACCTTATGAAGGCGGTATTATCATTTCTGTTTTACAGACGAGGAAACTGAGAGCCAAAGAGATGAGGCAGCTTGCCCAGGTTTGCAAGGGCCGATGAGCAGCAGAGCCAGGATTTGAGCAAACAGTCTGGCTCCATACACTAATTGCTCTGCTGGGCCCTGTTTGGCGGCCTGACACTAATGGGGTGCCTGACAGGAGGAATGAGAGCTCCAGTGGTCCAGGGCGTACGGCCTTCAGAAGCCCCCAGACAGAGGGAGGTCCTGGAATAGAGCCCCCAGGCCCTCCTGGGGAATCTAAAATGAGGCAGTCCTTCTTCTCCCCTCAGCAGACGGGTCCCTGGGGTATTTAGAAATTGGTTAAGGGATTTGGGGCTCAATATTGCGGCTTTTTAATATCTCTCACTTGTCCATGCTGTGACGGTCTGTGCCACCCACCTTGTTATTTCAGTCGGTTCTGGGAGATTGATGGCCCAGGCTTTGATTTAAGATCTGTGGCTACAATCCTCAATTTCCCCCTGTCTCATGGGGGGACAATGACAAGGCAGTGAGCACACAGAGGATTCTTCCCAAACTTCAGGCCTCAGAGCCCTCAGCACCTGTAGAGAAAGTTCCAACCAGAAAGGCCTGGGCCGAGGCAGCCAGGCCCCATGGGCCTGTCCTGTGGAGCCTCAGTTTCCCTGCAGATGATGTGAGAAGAGCGCGGGCCAAGGAGGCCCATTCAATGATAGGGTTGGAGGAACTGAACAAACTCCCTCATTTCACAGATGAGCAAACCGAGACCCAGAGAGGTGAAGCCACTCACCCAAGGCCTCACAGGAAATCGTTGAAACTTCAGCTGGGTCTCCAGCTTTTTGGGGGAAAGAACTCCCACATATCTTTTAGCCCCTAATTCTGCCCTGTTTTGGATGAATTCTTATTCTGGACCTTTTTTGTGGTTGAAATAAAACAAAAATTGGATAAACTTACCTAAGGTCAGATACTGGACCGGTCACTGTGATGTATATGATCCTATTTCTTCCTCATAAGATCTCCGTGGGTCACTGGGGCCAGAGATTGCCACGCTTGGCCAGCTCCTGGATTCAGAAGACCATATCATTTTGACCAAAACCCCAGAATTTCTGTACTTGCCCTTTCTTGCCCTGTCAGGTCCTCAGCCAAAGCCCCTTGAAAAGTCACCTCACTGTCCCACTGATAAGGGTTTCTGTGAACCCTCCAAAGGGATGTTACATTGCTCCCCGACGAGCCTATCAGCTTCAGTCACCTCTGGCCATCTGTCATACTTGTCTTCTGTCCGAGAACTTGCCGAAGGCCACAAGGCTACTTGAAGTAATACCCCCACTCCCACCCTTCCATGCCCCCCTGATTATGATGGCCGTTGTGGAGAAGCTAACGCCCAGGCCAACTCCTGATACTCCCATAGCCCCAGTCCTACCAGGAGCTGAGAAAGCAACATTTTCGTTAACACAGGGGCCCTAGGTCCCCAGGATCCCAAAGCTTAACTGCTTATGCCCCAGGCTCCCAAAACCTTTCTACAAAGAGCTTGGCTGCCACCTCTAACCCCTGGCCTCAAATGTAAGCCAAGGGGCCATCGAGGAGGGTACCATTCCTGCCTTATTCATTCTCTTCTTAGAACCACCTCGAATAGACAGTCCCTCTCCTTCCCCAGTTACAAAACTAAGTGTCCTAAGTAAATTACAGGATATGCCAACTAATGTTGGTGGACGGGAGGAAACAGGGAAACTAAGTGATTTGCTTCTGGTAGTGCCTAAGCCACAACACACCTGCTGCCCAGACCGGCCAAGCTGCCCCAGGGCTCTAGACCTTCTGGGCCTCATAGGTGGGAGGCAGGGTGGTCCTCAGCCCACTGAAGCCAACCCCATCCCATCCTCCAGGCTCCATCTTCTTTCCTCTGGCCTCACGCAGTCTAGCCCCCATCTTGCCAAGGCAAGTCTCATTCATTCAAGTCCCAAAGTTTCAGGGAGGAGGGAGACGTCAGAGGGGCCAGTCGCCTGCTTCCTTCTGAGAAAGAGGCCTGCTCCAGCTGCCCTCTGGGGAAGAGGCCTAGCAGAGAAGTTGACCTTCCCTAAGCCACCCTGCTGGCCATTGCCACACTCGCGCCCTGGAGGCCCCGGATGAGAAATATCAAGGGGTGCTCTCAGGCCCAATGCCTACCCCAGTGTTTTCCAGAGCCTGCCTTCTGGGAAGTGGAGAGGTGGCCACAGGGCCTGTGTTTATCTGGAGGTGACTTCCACCTCAGGCTTCCACCCGGCCATAGAGCCATGAGGAGACGGACAGACTGACCAAAGGCAAAAAAGGCTTAAGACGGCCACATACCCTATGTCTAAAAATAGGATACAGTGAAGAGCTCCCAAGCGCTAGGGCTGGGGAGGTGGTGGGAGTTGGGGGCGGACAGAACAGAATTGTGGGCTACAA